CACCTATTTGAATCCCACCACTGTTCAGGCTGCATGATATAGAGCCAAGTTACATAAGGATGTGAAGGGTTCTGGAACAAAGGGAAATTGTTTAGTCTAACTGTTGCTTTCTTGTTTTTTGGCTCTGTTTTCTGATTTCCATTGGCTAACAAAGTTTATAAAGCAATTCTACCAACTTTCTAAGACGTAGCACTTCAGGACGTGATTCTGCCACGGTTCCAGATTGTTGGCCACCCAGCTGGTTAATTTGATCAAATAAAGTNTCCGCTTGGGTTATCTAATTAGATTAATATGGTATTTCAAGTTTAAGTAAGGGACTGGGACCTTACAGCACCACGTGTGTATTTCATTTGTATGGTGCCAAACACAATGGGGTTTTTTCCTCAGGCTTTCCCATCTCTACCCATCCCCAAAACTGACGTGCCAATGGCCAGGAGGACACAGCCTGCAACCGAGACCTGGACGGGCATGTCTCCCCTTCAGGGTGGAGGTGCCCTGAGCACTGGGTCTTCCTATGCTCTTCTCCAAAGTGTACAGGACTGATTGATGTCTTTCTTATGATGGAATAGCTCTGTTGTCTGATGTTCATTGGCTAATGAAGTTTACAAAGCAATGCTACCAACTTTCTAATGTGTGCCACTTCTGGATGTGACTCTGCCAGCGTTCCAGATTGTTGGCTACCCAGCTGCTTAATTTGATCAAATAACATGCTGCTTAATCAAGAAATCTCCTCTTGGGTTATTTAATTAGATTAATATCGTATCTCAAGTTTAAGTAAGGGACTGGGACCTTACAGCACCATGCATGTATTTCATTTGTATGTGCCACCACAACACACATGCCTCTGATTCCCTAGTAGTTCATCCCAGTTGTCAACCTGCAAAAGAAAAGGACATTCCTTTGATCACCATTTCCCAATAAGAGTGATGCCGTTAGAACTGTAACTCTTCCATACAATTATGCTTCTCAATTATGTCCTGAAAGAGAGGGACAAGAAATCTTTTGAATACAATTCTGAATGGAGTTTTTTTTACGGTGTGGAGTTGGTAATCAATTGTTTCCCAGATGGACTGGAACTGCAACACCCATGATTGATATGCCAGGGATTCTAGTGCTTTAGTCCAAAGTATTTTGGTCTGACCCTTCATGGCTGACCCTCTGAAAAGGGAGAGATCTTCTACTGAGTGTCTTCCTTTGCCCCCAACTGGTTTCTTGTACAAAAACGCTTTAGCCAGACTTACGTAATTTACTTACCCAAAAAGAAGGGCACAGGGATGAGTATACTTTTTTATACCACTGACAGACATAGGGATCGGAGCCTTTGGCATTCATAGCTTTCTCACAGCGATGGAAGTCTACCAGGAAAAAAAAATTCAAAATGCATCTAATCTAAGATCCAGAAGAGTCCTTAAAACAGAACTGTGTATAAGCCTGAAGAATCTACAAGACTGTGTATTGTCCAACACCTGGGTCTCCAAAATAAAAAAGAACCTCCCTGTATCCACCATTTCCCCCCCCCCCAACACATAGAAATACAGTGGTGGGATTCAGCAGGTTCGCACCACTTCGACAGAACCGGTAGCTAATTTTTGTTGCACATGTCTAAAATGGACTTCCGGAAGTGGCATCCACACATAAAACTGGTTGTTCACATATTTAAATCCCACCACTGTTCAGGCTGCATGATATAGAGCCAAGTTACATAAGGATGTTAAGAGTTCTGGAACAAAGGGAAATTGTTTAATCTAACTGTTGGTTTCTTGCTTTTTGGCTCTGTTGTCTGATTTTCATTGGCTAACAAAGTTGATAAAGCAAACAAAATCACTACTAAAAGCCAACATGGGTTGTCAAAAACAGATCTTGCCAGACAAACCTTATTGCATTCTTTGATCAAGTGACAAAATTAGTGGATCAGAGGAATGCTGTGGATATAATTTACTTGGACTTCAGTAAGGCATTTGATAAAGTAGATCACAACCTACTACTCGATAAGATAGAAAAATGTGTGTTAGACAGCAGCACCACCAGATGGATTTGTAGCTGACTGACCGGCCGTACTCAGCATGTGGTCCTCAATGGAACTGCATCTACATGGAGGGAAGTGTGTAGTGGGGTGCCCCAGGGCTCTGTTCTGGGCCCAGTGCTCTTCAACATCTTCATCAATGATTTGGACGTGGGGATAGATGGGGAACTCATCAAATTTGCAGATGACACTAAGCTGGCAGGAATAGCCAACACTCCAGAAGACAGGCTTAAGATACAGGAGGACCTGGACAGACTTGAACACTGGGCACTATCTAACAAAATGAAATTCAATGATGAAAAAAGTAAGGTTCTACATTTAGGCAAGAAAAACCAAATGTACAAGTATAGTATAGGGGTACCATGCTCAATAGTAGTAACTGTGAGAGGGGTCAGAGTCCTAGTGGACAATCACTTAAATATGAGCCAGCAGTGTGCTGCAGCTGCCAAAAAAGCCAACACAGTGCTGGGCTGCATTAACAGAGGGATAGAATCAAGATCACGTGAAGTATTAATACCATTTTACAAAGCCTTGGTAAGGCCACACTTGGAATACTGCATCCAGTTTTGGTCACCACGATGTAAAAAAGATGCTGAGACTCTAGAAAGAGTACAGAGAAAAGCAACAAAGATGATTAGGGGACTGGAGGATAAAACATATAAGGAAAGGTTGCTGGAATTGGGTATGTCTAGTTTAACAAAGAGAAGGACGAGGGGGGACATGCTAGCAGTGTTCCAATATCTCAGGGGCTGCCACAAAGAAGAGGGAGTCAAGCTATTTTCCAAAGCGCCTGAAGGCAGGACAAGAAGCAATGGATGGAAACTAACCAAAAAGAGAAGCAACCTAGAACTAATGAGAAACTTCCTGACAGTTAGAACAATTAACCAATGGAACAACCTGCCTCCAGAAGCGGTGAATGCTCCAACACTGGAAGTTTTTAAGAAGAGACTGGATAGCCATTTGTCCGAAATGGTGTAGGGTTTCCTGCCTGAGCAGGGGGTTGGACTCGATGACCACCAAGGTCCCTTCCAACTTGATATTACTACTACTACTACTACTATTACTACTACTACTACTACTACTACTACTACTACTACTACTATTATTATTATTATTATTATTATTATTATTATTATTATTATTATTATTATTATTATTATTATTATTATTATTATTACAATGCTACCAACTTTCTAAGATGTGGCACTTCCGGATGTGACTCTACAGGCCTTCCAGATTGTTGGCCACTCACCTGCTTAATTTGATCAAATAAAGTGCTGCTTAATCAAGAAGTCTCCTCTTGGGTTATCTAATTAGATTAATATGGTATCTCAAATTTAAGTAAGGGACTGGGACTTTATAGCATCATGCACGTATTTTATTTGTATGATGCCAAATACAACGGGTTTTTCCACACAGGCTTTTCCATCTCTACCCATCCCCAAAATTGATGTGCAAATGACCAGGAGGACGCAGCCTGCGACCCACACACCCAGACAGGTGCGTCTCCGCATTGGGGTGGAGGCGCCCTGAGAACTGGCCCTTCCCGCACTCTTCCCAAGGGTCGGCACCACCAGGAAACTCTGTCTGAGGATGGAAGCAAGGCCTGGAGCAGCTTGGCTCTTCTCCCCGGCCGGCTGCGAGCGAGCTCCTGGCTTCTCATCGCAACGAGGCTGATGAAGCAGCAGCTTCCTCAAAGTGACTTTCACCTGCAGAACAGGCCACTAAGATGCCGGAATCAGCGAAGGGGAGGCTAGAACAGCACTGGAAAAACGGGCGCATGGACACTCTACTCCGCCCCTCTTTTCCTGTTGGGTCCCAACCCTAAAAGCGCTGCTGCTTCTAGAGCAGAGGTGGGGAACTATGGCTCCCCTTATGACTTGTGGACTTCAACTCCCAGAATTCCTGAGCCAGTCTGGTACCATAGCTGGATACCCTCCCCCCAGTTGTACAGACTTCAATTTCCCTAATTCTTCAGAATTACCATCCAAACTGGGAAATTCTAGGAGTTGAAGTCCAGGCATCTGGAAAGGAAGATATTGAAAGGTTAAAGCTAATTTTAAACAAGTCAAATTCAAACAAATTACAGCTGTGGAAAGCATACATCCAGCTTTCCTGATCTCCTTTTTCAAAACTAGATCCTAGAATGGAAAATGTGGAGTGTTTTCAAACCAGTCTCTGTTGGATTTAAGTTAGTATCAGTTGCCGCCACTATTCATAATAGAGAAACAGTCGTTTTTCCACAACACCCAAACAAATGGGTCAACTGAGTGTGTGGTTTCCTTTATATGGTCTAACTGCCCTGGCTTTTTTAGGTTTAAAAATATTTCCAGTTAAAAGAAAAAAAAATCTGTTTTCCTTCCGTCCTAAAGCTGAAGTGAATTCTGCACCAACATCTCACATACATTGCATTAATCACATATTAGGTTTTTTTGCTTTCCAGAACGGTCTATTTATATTGAGATACATATCCAGTCTTGTTATCAGTGTTCTTTCATGCTTCAGGCTCAGTGGTGGGATTCAGCCAGTTCGCACCACGTTAGCAGAACCAGTAGCTAATTTTTTGTTGCCCAGGCCCAGAATGGACTTCTGGAAACGGCATCCACACAGAGAACCGGTTGTTCACCTATTTGAATCCCACCACTGTTCAGGCTGCATGATATAGAGCCAAGTTACATAAGGATGTGAAGGGTTCTGGAACAAAGGGAAATTGTTTAGTCTAACTGTTGCTTTCTTGCTTTTTGGAATCAGCTTTTGCACCAGAAAAATTTCATGCAAGCTTGGGAAACGGGTACATGGATGGGATATACTGAAGGAGGGAATAAGGGACTGTACAGGAATGATTGATGTCTTTCTTATGATGCAATGGCTCTGTTGTCCGATTTTCATTGGCTAACAAAGTGTATAAAGCAATGCTACCAAGTTTCTAAGACGTGACACTTCTGGACGTAACTCTGTCAGCGTTCCAGATTGTTGGCCACCCAGCTGCTTAATTTGATCAAATAAAGTGCTGCTTGATCAAGAAGTCTCCGCTTGGGTTATCTGATTAGATTGATACGGTATCTCAAGTTTAAGTTCGGGACTGGGATCTTACAGGTGAGAAACTGGCTTTTTTTCCACATCTGTACTTCAGCCTCGGAGTGGAAGAGAACAAAGTGATTAATCAAATATTTTGAACTGTGCATTCTTGCCAAAATTGTTCCCCATCTCTAAATTCCAGGCAAACAGCTTGCCACACAGAGTTGAAGCTATGGTGCTGATCAGAGTGCTAGCAAACCTTCTGATACTACAGCTTTCTTACGGTAAGAGCCTGGACAATGGAGCAAGGGGTGGACGGAGCTTTAGGTGTCTTTTTCGGTTTAAACCTCCAGTTACAGGAGTAAACTTGCATGTAATTATTAACTGTAGATGTACATGCAGGTCACAAGTAGAGAGAGAGTGGGTGAAGAAGGGTCGGTTGGTGCAAATGGGGAAGACCATTGCTGTATTTGTAATGATAGTATGAATTGATACATTTATTCATATCAGCAAAACTAGCCAGTTAAAAATATATAATCCCAAATATGGTCAGCTTCCTTTCGTGTTTCTATTTATTTGGCAACTGACTTCAATAGAGGAAGATAACTTATTAATTAATATAAGCTGCAATGAGAAAAAAGTTGGGGAGGGGTTTTCAGTGCTAAGGTGGTCTTTAAAAAATGGTATATGAGATGGCCATTGATTTTTGTCCAAACTGGTAAAATAAATCTGTTGGATTTAACCTAGCTCCCATTCTTTTAGATCTGCTACATTATACAGTGTGCAATATCTGGGTCATTGCTTCTGAAACAAATCTCAAAACCGGTATTTAGGGATTTTACTGCTATCAATGTGGGCTCAAACTGTTTTTAGTGAACTAAATACTAATCTTATCAACTTCCCATAGATTGAATTCCATTTTTATCAATCTCTTCCCCAGTTTCATTCCTTCTGCCCCCTATTTTCCATATCATGAGGCAATTTCTTTTGCTTAGCAATGCAGTACAGCAAGATCAGACTCTGGACCAAATGCTTCTAAATGTCCATCCTTTTTAGAAGCTCATCTGAACTATTCTTCTTACTTCAACTGATTAGCGTAATCTGACTGGCAGTGATACCATTAAGTTACTGAGCAGTCTTCTATATTTATACCAACAATAATAGTGTACATATATAGCATTCTTTTCATAAAAGTCATCTTATTGATTCACCATATATCTTATTTTCATAAATCTTGTTTAAGCTCAATTTCTCCATAATATTCAAACAATTCTTATCAATCATAATTTTCTCAATAATTAATATCTAAATATCCAAATTTTCCACTTAAATATATCATCCCAGTATTTTCATATTACATATATTATAGAAATATATACTTCTTTTCTATCATCACATCTACTTATAACATCTTTTCTAATCAATTTATATTTCACTTCTATTCATAAAAATTGATTGAATCATGATATATCCTTTTTTCAATGTTCTTATTAAGCCTAATTTCCCTCAGTATTTCAATCATTCCTTAATCCTAAATCTTTTCAAACTTAATTTGTCTTTAAAATTCAAACTTTTCTTTCACTTTCATCATCCCAATATTTTTACATTTTGTATCTTATCAAAAATTTGCTATATTACTTATATCTCTTATCCCACTTATTCTAAAGCCCCTTTATAGCCAAAGTTATTTATTTATTTATCCATATTCAAACAAGTGTTTGCTCGTATAATATTCCATCTGCTAGGGCAAGTCAAGTCTCTTGAGCCCATCTCTAATCTTCTTCCTTTGCCAAATTGTTTTCCAGATTAATATTTTCGACTTGTCAAACAGTTCTTGTATTTTTGTAGTTGTTGTTAGGCATAGAGGATACATAATACGCAAGATGTATGCTTTTTGTCTCCCAAACAGTGATTCTCCTAACAGTGTCCATTTTGTTAAATCTTCTTTCTTCTCAGGTTTATTTTGATGTTCTAAAGCATAAGGTATCTTTTCCATATTTATTTATTCCATATTTCCATATTGTGAATTTTTTCTTATATGTATTAAGTTATAATTCCCTTCATTTGTGACTTTGCCAATTAAATCATTTTTTTCTAGTTCACATTCTATTATCTGATTTGTTTGTTCATTCTTTACCATCATTCCTTGAATGTGTTTTGATTGTAAATTTAAGTTAGAAATGTATTCATTTATGTTGTCAAAGTTATGTTTAATCTCCTCATGGTTTAGAGCTATTGTGATTTGTATCTGTCGTAGCATTGCATACATTTCTTCTTGGAAAGTATTTGTCTTGTCTTGAAATTTTGCTTCTAGAGGTCTTTGATCTTTCTGGCTAAATCCTTCAAGGGTAGATATTAAGTGTAGTTTTCTGTCATTTTTTGACAGAAGTGTGTCAGAAGTGATCACACAACCCAGGGACACTGCAACTGTCATAAATATGAGTCACATGCTAAGCATCTGAACTTTTTTCACATCACCGTGGGAATGCTGCAATGGTCATGTGAAAAACTGAATAGCATCAGCCATTCTGATGGCTGAGATCTAAGGCATCTGGTCTTATGAGAAGCTGTGGCATATTTTGCTTCAGTTCTCTGCTGCTCAGTAACTTTCTTCAGAGCCATTGTAAATTTGAATGGTCACTAAATGAATTGTTGTAAGTCAAGAACTACCTGTATTAATAACTAGTTCCTCACTGTGCAGGGAAACTGAGTGGAAAGTACTAAACATCTGTCTCCAGCTTTGCTTGTACAAGCTTTCGGATTATGACCTTTGTCTTGCAGCTTGAAGATGTATTGAGTTCAATTCCCAGAATTCGCCATGCTGGCCGGGGACTTGTGGGAATTGAAATCCATACATCTTCAAGTTGCCAAGGTTGAGAAACACTGGTTTAATTGTTTGAAAGTACAATCAGCTCATTTATATTGTGGTTTATAAGATGCTCTTAGGAGCTTCTATAGTTCCAGCAGCAAGACCCTGCTTTAAATAACTAGGATCCTGGAGTGAGAATTCAGGGGGTGATAAAAGTGTCTGTTTCACTTCCCTATTGAATAAGTCAACTCTCCTGTTTTGGAAATCTTTCCACGCCCAAATCTTATCACCACTAACAAAGCAAAACCCCTGGTCATATCTTATTTCAGAGCGTGGTGAGCTAGCTGTGTAATATTTAATGAATTTTTGCTTTCATAAAACCATGTTTGAAGGAATGGGAATTAAATTTTCTTATGTTGTTATATTAAACAAGAAGATCTCAAACTAACTTCTTATCTTAAGATAAGATAGAATAACCTTTATTGTCATTTTCTATGAACACACTGGCACATGTTAAAAATGAAATTCTGATGCTCTTTCTCAAAAGTATATGTGTGTGTACACACACACACACACACACACACACACAGAAATTAATCACTTAAGATTCACAGGTAGTTTACCTACATGGGCATAGGCATATATATGATTTGCAAATAATCCATTTTATTCAACTGGTTTGATGATGTGTGTCCCACAGTCATCTGTTACCCTCCATAATTAGTGTATTGATAGAAACACTACCAATAAAAGCGATTCTGTTCTACTCCACAGCCAAACACTGAACTTTTTTGGTTTCTTTGCAGCACAAAAGTCTTCTGAACTGATCATTGGAGGTGATGAATGTAACATAAATGAACATCCTTTCCTTGTACTCGTGTACTATGATGATTATCAATGCGGTGGGACTTTGATCAATGAGGAATGGGTGCTCACTGCTGCACACTGCAATGGGTGAGGACATTACAGAATGTGGAAGGGTTTTTTTTATAATGTTTCTGCTAGTTTTTAGTGACTTCTCTGTGCATTTTGAATGAGTGTTCTGCTGCTACTGCTATTGCTCCTCACAATCATATCTTGAGCAATGCTGTTTAAATATATGATTGAATTTCCATCTTCTTCACCACAGTATTCATATCTTTCCTTTTTTCTGGGCTATAATAATAACAAGAATAACAAAATCTGGAACATTACCTGAATACCATCAGCATTGACAAAATCACCACAGTCAATTGCAAAAGGCAGCCTTACTTGGAACATCCTGTGACAATCCCTTTAATACCATGGAACCACAAAATTTTCCTACCCCAGGTCCTTGGAAGGACTTGATAGGTGGATAAAAATGCCAAATCCAGTCTAAATATCTGACTGACTGCACAACTAACCAGAAAATATTAACCATATGCTGCCTGACTTTTATGGGTTTGCCATAAAAATTTTTTTTTTAAAAAAACCAGTAAAACATAAAAGATAAAAAGATGATGAAGTGAGAGTCTTCTCTCTCCCTTATCAAAGGCCTGGGTGAGGCACTACACCTTAATACCTCTTCTAAACAAGAGCAGAGTGGGCACCATTCAGATTTTGTGTTCGTCTTTATCTATTCAACCATCCTTTGAGATAGGCTGGGTTGAGAGAGGATGTGCGACAGAAGGTGATATGGTGTATCAGAATGAAGGAAAGAAATCAGTGGCATACGAATTTTATAAGAATTTATACAAAGATGAAAAATGGAGAAACAACAATGATATTGTACAGTACTTGCAAACAGCTGACTTACCGAAAGTCCCAAAAGAATTTAAAATTTTATTGAACAAAGAGATAACACCTTTGGAACTTTCAGAAGCAATTAAGAAACAAAAAAATAATAAAGAACCTGGGCCAGATGGCCTACCTGCAGAAGTGTATAAGATCATACAAGAACTTTTAAGTCCAATAATGTTGGAACTATTTAATGAGGTCTTAACCAAGGCTAAAACACCAGCTTCATGGGAAGAAGCTTTCCTTACTCTGATTCCTAAGGAAAATGCAGATCTGGCGTATATCAAAAATTATAGACCCATCTCATTATTAAATTCAGATTATAAGATCTTTATGGCTATAATGGCCCATAGACTTGAAAGATTTTTAGCAGATTTCATACACTCTGATCAAAATGGTTTCTTACCCAAAAAATACATAAGAAACAATGTCAGGATTATTTTAGATATTTTGGAGTATTATGAGGTGCACAATGAAAAGCAAATGAGTTTAATCTTTCTTGATGCACAAAAAGCTTTCGACAATGTGAAATGGGATTTTATGTTTGAGCAATTGGTGTATATGGACTTCGAGGTAAATTTTATAAACATGTTTAAATCAGTTTATTCTAATCAAGTAGCGAAAGTAATAATTAATGGAGAAATGACTGATAGCTTTCCAATTCAAAAAGGTACGAGACAAGGTTGCCCGATATCACCTTTGTTGTTTATTTTATCCCTAGAGGTATTGGCCAGAGTAACTCGGAAAGATAGGCAGATCAAAGGTTTAGAGATCAAGGAAGAAACGTTGAAAACGCAAGCTTTTGCAGATGACTTAGTGTTTATAATTGAAGAGCCATTGCAATCTGGGATAAAATTGATGGAGGTCTTAAGCAAGTACGGGGAAATTGCAGGTTTGAAGATAAATAAAGAAAAAACTAAAATGCTTGTCAAAAACATGACTACAGTACAGAGACATGATTTGGCTGATAGATTGGGTATTCAAATTACAAATAAAATAAGATATTTAGGAATACAATTAACTGCTAGATGCATCACATTAAAGAGAGATAATTACGACAAATTAGTTGAACAAATCAAAGCTGATTTAGATATTTGGACCAACTTACAACTTTCTTTTATGGGCAGAATAGCAGTCATTAAAATGAATGTGTTGCCGAAAATTTTATTTTTGTTTCAATGCATACCCATAAAATTGGACAAGAAATTTTTTCAAAATCTTAATAAAATTGTTCTCAAATTTATTTGGCAGGGAAGGAAGGCAAGGATTAGATTAAAATTACTGCAGGATTCAAAAGAAAGGGGGGGGGGGTTGCCTCCCTGATATGGAAAAATACTATCAGGCCATAGTTTTAACATGGGTACGAGATTGGATACTCTTAAAAAACAGGAGATTACTATGTTTAGAAGGCCATGACTTAGAAATAGGATGGCATGCCATGTTATGGGACCAAAAATATAGTTCATATAAATATTTTTGTAGGCACTATATTAGACGGGCTCTAATTGATACATGGGCCAAAACCTGGAAACCGAATTACACTCAAGTCCCTGGCTGGGTCTCACCGCTAGAAATATACGTACATCCAAAATTTATTCAATTAGGGAAAATTATAACATATAAAAACGTATTAGATGAGAAAGGGGAATTGAAATCTAGGAAAACCCTGCAAGACGGAGGATTAAAATTAGAATGGTGGGCATACCTTCAATTGCAGGCGAGATGCTGGAAAGATAAAAAAGAATTAGGTATAAAAACAGAATCGACAGGGCTGGATAAAATATTATTAGGTACTGAGGATAAAATGATTAAAAAGCTATATCATTATTTGTTAGAACAGGCCTTATATGAAGAACAGGTAAAAGAGACCATGTTAGCATGGAGCAGAGACTTTGATCTTAATCTTGATCTGCATATCTGGCAAGAACTATGGGCACGAAATAGGAAGCTCACTCTGGCAACATCCTACAAAGAAAACCTGTATAAAATGTTTTACAGGTGGCACTACCCGCCCACAAGACTAGCTAAAATGGCCTCCAACATTTCCCCTACATGTTGGAAATGTAATTTGGCAAGAGGGACATATTATCATATGTGGTGGGAGTGCCCGAAGGCCCGTGTTTTTTGGAACAAGGTTCAAAAATGGTTAGAAGAAATATTAACAACAGAGGTAGAACTAAAACCAGAACTCTTCCTACTTGGTATTACTATACAAAAATATGATAAAGGGACACTCTACCTAATGCTACACATCTTCACGGCTGCCAGATTGACCTATGCACAAAATTGGACAAACAAAGAAATTCCTACTGAAGAAGAGATTCTACAAAAAATTTTATCATGTGCAGACATGGACAGGCTAACTATGGAATTAAAGGACAAGACGGAAACGGACTATTTTGGAATCTGGGACAAATTTTACTGCTGGTATGAGTCAAGAAGAACTGTTCGGGTTTTGAGTTAAAGTTTAAGTTTGTGGTATATAAAATTATACGTTAATATGTAGAGAAATAAGCTTGAGATTGTATTATATAGGGGAATATATGTATATATTTATATAGAGAGATGTATATATAGAACTTTAAATATGATAAGGAACGAATTATTAGGATTATGTATACTGGAACGTCATGTCATGTCCTTTTTTGTTTTAATTGTTTTATTAATAAAAAACTTTAAAAAAAAAGAGAGAGGATGTGCGCAATACAAAGTCATAACATTAGTACTGTAACCACATGGGTTCTATCTTTAACACAGTAATTTATAATTTATAACTGCAACATTTACACAATACACATCCCAGTCAAGAAAGAGATGGATTCATAGTATATGCCAAGCTTTCTGAGTGCTAAACAGCACACAGGTGAATTCATGCTTCAAGATTTTGCATAAACAATGGAAATAGCTTATTCAATCACCTTGAATAAATTTCTTGAGTGAACCCAGATCTCTAGGACATTGACTGTAACTCTTCCAGGTTTCTGGCAGGTTTTTCCCACAAACACCATTGGAGAAGGAAGGTTATGGCCCTTTCATGTCTGGCGCTAACGATCCTGCTTGAGGGCCAAAATGAGGTCAAGACCAACCCAAGTAATATAGAGTTTACTTTAAGTTGTTGTTGTTAACTTCTTGTTGTTTTTCTTGTAGGGAAAATATGGAGATATACCTTGGTATGCATAGCAAAAAGGTACCAAATAAGGATAGGCGGAGAAGAGTCCCAAAGGAGAAGTTCTTTTGTGACAGTAGCAAAAACTACACCAAATGGAACAAGGACATCATGTTGATCAGGCTGAACAGACCTGTCAGGAAGAGTGCACACATCGCGCCTCTCAGCTTGCCTTCCAGCCCTCCCAGTGTGGGCTCAGTTTGCCGTATTATGGGATGGGGCACAATCTCACCTACTAAAGGTAGGGATCTCTGTCTTTACTTTCAGACCCACCTTTTGATGTAAAATCAACTAGGTCTAGGGTCCCACTATGTCACCCATGAATATTGGAATGTGGACGGACAATGGGATTACCTAAGATTCCATTTCTTCATCAGTTCCACAGCCACAAGGTCCTTGGAATAAAATAAATAAGTAAGGAAGTGGCATGCTGTGTAGCTAAAAAAAAACCTATAGGATCAGGTTTACTTATAGCAGTGCTTTTGGGAATCAGAAAAGTCCCATTAGCATGGCAGTCTTGCCTAGCTTCATTACCTTTGATAATGGGGTGTTTTGTGAATAGCCATGGCCGTTTTGGAAATGGAGAAGTCTCCCGCGGAGGATGTTTTCAGAGTATATTTACCCCTTGCTCTCAAAATACCAAATATGAACTCAAATCATGGTCTATCCTTGGATGGATATAAAATCTCTGTGGATGGTTCCAGAGGACTTCTTCCTTTTAAGTCCTGGTGGTGCAGTGGTTAGAATGCAGTATTGCTGGCTATCTCTGCTCCCAGCCTGGAATTCAATCCTGACAGAGCTCAAGGTTGACTCAGCCTTCCATCCTTTTGAGGTTGATAAAAGGAGGACTCAGATTGTTGGGGGCAATATACTGATATTGTAAATCACCCAGAGAGTGCAGTATATAGGTCTAAATGCTATTGCTATTGCTAATAAGGCCATGGAAGTGTTACATGCACTCTCAGCTTTGACTTATGGTCATCCACACATTCAAGCCTGCCAAGGTAGGTAGATCTTGTAAGCCTACCGTGTTTTCTACCTAGGTTTCTACCAAATAGGTGTAGCTAGAGCAGACAAGTCACACAGCCTTGGTCAAGAGCTGGGAAATAATTAAGGACTCACACAAATAATTTTCAACTAACCACTGAGGCACCACAAGTTTTTTGGAATACACGGAGACCCAGTGAATTTAAAGTAACAGCAAAACTTTACTGCTTGCAATGTAAATTTTCTCTTTCTCATATGCACACATGCACCCATCCATGTTTAGACACATCCTTATCAATTAGGCTGCCAGGCACCAGCTAGAGGGACAGAAACTCCTAAGTTGTGGATCCAAAGATGACTCAAGGAGTGGGTGAGCTTTAGGATCCCTTTTTATCCTGAAAATGTCTTGATTTGTTGATTAGCTGGGATTGGGGTTTATTCCATATTCTCAGGCTCAACTTTGTTTGATTCAAATGACATTTTGCCTTTTTTTTCCTTACACTTATTTCCATCTCATCTGTCCTCCCCAAGGGATCTTTTGGACAAGATTCCTGATTTTTTTGTTCTTGTACACAATACAAACTGGGTCTGCTTCATCTTCAGATATGGAAGTTTCAGTATGCAGGCTGAGGGATTTTGGGAGTTGAAGTTCACAAGTCTTAAAATTGCCAAGTTTGGAGAACCCCCATTCTAGGTCATCTCCAGGGGATGCGAGATCAGTTCTGTGACTTTTGAACAAGCAAAAGCCCCACTTTTCCAACAAGGCAATCTTTGCGTAGAGTGCCGGAAAAATTTGAGAACCCTTCAAATGTCCATCAGTTGATTTAAGACCTATTAATATCTTGAGAAAAAACATTTAACTAAATCTTTTTTCCCCAGGAGTCCCTTTGAACGTCTTTGAAAAACAATACTTCTTATTCCCAGGCAATGAGATCAGCTCCGTTGGTTGGAGACAATGGAAATTATAGCTCTATGCATCTAGGTGGTAAATTGTGAAAGGTAGAATTTTGCCTATTTTTTATTTTTTTTCAGTGACTTTGCCCGATGTCCCTCGTTGTGCTAACATTAACCTACTCGATTATGAGGTATGTCGAGCAGCTTACCCAGAGTTGCCAGCGACAAGCAGAACATTGTGCGCAGGTATCCTGGAAGGAGGCAAAGATTCATGTGGGGTAAGATGATCCGTTTTAAGACAGACTCCTAAAGAAACGATGCCAGTTTTCAAAGCTATGATAGAGATCTAGCCTTGAAGGCATCTTGTAGAAACATACAAAGTTACGACTCTTTCTAACTCAAGTGCCTTCTAGGTGTCTAGATTTCCAGACTTCCCAATATTGGTGATTCTGGTGGGGGAAATACAAGGAGTTAAATTCTTCTACAAGGATCCTGGATTGGGGAACATCGAAGTGAAACATTTGGGGGCTATATGTGAATGGACGATGGGAAGGAATTGTTTGCTTCACTTCCCATTCATAGATACGGTAGTAAAGTTTCATGTTTGATTTTTCTCAACAGGGTGACTCTGGGGGACCCCTCATCTGTAATGGACAATTCCAGGGCATTGTATCTTGGGGAGGCGATCCTTGTGCCCAACCTCATGAGCCTGGCCTCTACACCAATGTCTTCGATCATCTTGACTGGATCAAGGGCATTATTGCAGGAAATACAGATGTAACCTGCCCCCTGTGAAAACTTTTGAAAAAGTCAAGAGGAGAAAATGTAACATATTAGTACATCTCTTCTATATCCCTAACCATATCCAACTACATTGGAATATATTCCCAGGCAGTAAGCTTTTTTTAGACTCAAATAGGACTGCCTTTGGAGTAAGAAATGCTCAAAATAGTGCTGCAGGGATCATGTCCCATTTAATTTCAGTATAAAACAATCTCAGTAAAACAGAGGCCTGTTTTAGGGTGAGGTGCAAAATTTTCTGACTCTAAAATGGACCATTCCAAATATTTTAACCTCTGAATATCTTTCCATTTCTGTCCACTTCTGGGACAGTGGGGTCCTTGATGCTCTCTGAGCTTGTCTTTTTCAAGACGTTTCATTACCCAGCTAGGTAACATCATCAGTGCTAAAATATTCTCTTCTATTGGTACTTCTGTGGCATTTACAATACGCTCATATGGAGTCATGCAGTCATCCCACAAATATCCATATACCCGGGTCCCACTGTTGCCTAAAAAGGATCCCAGATTAACCCCCACTTCCCAATCACTAAATAGAATCTTTTGAGAATCATGTTTTCATGTAAATTCTCAGGTATCCACAGCAATAAAATCGTATAAATTCGTCACTTGTTTTCTGATCCTTTGGTTTTGCAAAGTAATGGCCTGTTAAATGGCAGCATTTGAACAACTGGGCTTAAAAGCTGAAAAAGCTCTGACCTGGATTTCCGGTTTTGCGTGCTTGAAACTGGCTGACCGGCCATACTCAGCATGTGGTCCTCAATGGAACTGCATCTACATGGAGGGAAGTGTGTAGTGGGGTGCTCCAGGGCTCTGTTTTAGGCCCAGTGCTCTTCAACATCTTCATCAATGATTTGGATGAGGGGATAGACAGGGAACTCATCAAATTTGCAGATGACACCAAGCTGGCAGGAATAGCCAACACTCCAGAAGACAGGCTTAAGATACAGGAGGACCTGGACAGACTTGAACACTGGGCGCCATCTTAGAAAATGAAATTCAATGGTGAAAAAAGTAAGGTTCTACATTTAGGCAAGAAAAACCAAATGTAAAGGTATAGTATAGGGGCTACCTTGCTCAATAGTAGTAACTGTGAGAGGGACCTCGGAGTCCTAGTGGACAATCACTTAAATATGAGCCAGCCGTGTGCTGCAGCTGCCAAAAAAGCCAACACAGTGCTGGGTTGCTTTAAAAGAGGGATATAATCAAGATCACGAAAAATATTAATACCACTTTACAATGCCTTAGTAAGGCCACACTTGGAATACTGCATCCAGTTTTGGTCACCACGATGTAAAAAAGATGTTGAGACTCTAGAAAGAGTACAGAGAAGAGCAACAAAGATGATTAGGGGACTGGAGGCTAAAACATATAAGGAATGGTAGCTGGAATTGGGTATGTCTAGTTTAACGAAAAGAAGGACGAGGGGGGACATGATAGCAGTGTTCCAATATCTCAGGGGCTGCCACAAAGAAGAGGGAGTCAAGCTATTCTCCAAGGTGCCTGAAGGCAGGACGAGAAGCAACGGATGGAAACTGATCAAGGAGAGAAGCAACTTAGAACTAAGGAGAGACTTCCTGACAGTTAGAACAATTAACCAATGGAACAACNTTTTTTTTTTTTACAAAAAAAGCACTGCTTTTATGACTTGTGGACTTCAACTCCCAGAATGTGCCTGGCTGAGAAATTCTGGGAGTTGAAGTCCACAAGTTAAAAAAGGGCCAAGTTTGAAGGCCCCTGCTATAAAGGAAAGGAAAGCTAAGTAAAATCACTAGCACATTTGTGGTCATGTGATTGGACTTAGTAACAGTTTTGTTTAACAACTGAGTTGCCTGTCAAGGACTCCTGGTATAGTCTGATTCTCCTAGCTGCAATCAGTGAAAGAAATTAAATCTTCTGCTCACATCAGCTGTAGAAATATGTCTGGAACTCCTTCCTGCTAAATAGAAAAAAGCCTTGTTATCCTTACCAGAGACCAACAGCTACTTTAATCTAATGCATTAATATGCCTCTCAGTTTTAAAAAACTTTCTGATAAGAGACTGGAGCTATGGTTTCATCCTTAAACTTTACAGTAGACAAGCTAGATTTTACCAAATCAGTTCTAGATATATATTATAGCCTACTGAATAGAAATGATATATATGACATAAGGCCTCAGAATGCTCACATGTCAAGAAATTGGAAGCAGATACCTTATTCTGCAGTTCTGCAGAAGAAAGCATAAGTTTTCATTAAATTGCTAGTTGTGTCCCTTTAATTGAGACGTCATGACACTTTACAGAACAGAAGAGCACCTTTCCTAAAATGATTACCTGGGGGGGGAATGAAAGGTACAAAGGTATCTTGCCTGCAGACAGGAAAACAATAACAAAAATGACATACCACATGTGATACAGTGTGCCCCTTACTGTAGTATTAAGTACTGAAGATTTATACACATTAGGTGGGTTCAACAGCAGCCTATGCTCCGACTACAAAATAGATGTTGTGTTCTCACAATATCTGATACCCAAAGAAAACAGTTGTATGAGGGCTTCACCTTTGGCTGACATGATAAAACAGTGGCTTCCCACCATTCACCAAACTATAGTTACTGCCCCATTCCATTTCAAGGCTACCCCAGCTTTGGTGTGAATTCCGCTATTAGAAATTCAAGCTGTTTTAGCAAAATCAAGGCAAAAGCAAGGGGGGGGGGGNGGACCCCAGCCTCCTCCTCTTGCTGCCACCACATGCACTGGACTCCAACCTTCCTCACCCCTGGAGATGAGAAGGCCTGGGAAAAACTGGAAAAATTGGGGTGGGGGAAGAGTGTTTCCCCCCCATTTAAAAAAATAGGGTTTTGGGGAAAATGGGGGAGAGAACTGTTTTTTCCTCATTTTCCAGGTTTCCCCCCCCCCCCATCCCTATTCATCCCCAAAACTGATGTGCCAATGGCCAGGAGGATGCAGCCTGTGACCCAAAGACCTGGACGGGCGTGTCTCCCCTTCGGGGTGGAGGCGCCCTGAGCACTGGGCCTTCCCGTGCTCTTCCCAAGGGTCAGCACCGCCGGGGAACCCGCTCCGAGGATGGAAGCAAGGCCTGGAGCTTTCACCCTCCTCTCCCTGGCCGGCTGCGAGCTCCTGGTTTCTCATCACAACGAGGCTGACGAAGCAGCGGCTTCCTCAAAGTGACTTTCACTGTAGAAGCGGCCACCAAGACACCGAAATGAGCGATGGGGTTGCTTGAGAAGCACCAGAAGAACTGGCGCAAGGACGCTCTAGCTCCGCCTCTCATTTTCCTGTTGGATCCCAACCCCAAAAGCGCAGCTGCTTCTAGAGCGGAGGTAGGGAACTATGGCTCCCCTTATGACTTGTGGACTTCAACTCCTGGAATTCCTGAGCCAGTTGGTACCACAGCTGCATACCCTCCCCCCAGTTGTACAGACTTCAGCTTCCCTAATTCTCCACAATTACCATCCTGACTGGGAAATTCTAGGAGTTGAAGTCCAGGTGTCTGGAGAGGATGAAATTTAAAGGTGAAGGCTAATTTTAAACAAATCAAATTCAAACAAATGAAAGCTGTGGAGAGCATACATCCAGTGCTGTGCATAGCCAGCTTTCCTGATCTCCTTTTCCAAAACTAGATCCTAGAGTGGAAAATGTGGAGTGTTTTCAAACCAGTCTCACAAGCCTGAAAATTGTTGGACTTAAGTTAGTATCAGTTGCCCCCACTATTCACAATACAGAAACAGTCGTTTATCCACACCATCCACACAAATGGGTTAACTGAGCGTGTGGTTGCCTTTATATGGTCTAACTGCCCTGGCTTTTTTAGGTTTAAAAATATTTCCAGTTAAAAGAAAAAAAATCTGTTTTCCTTCTGTCCTAAAGCTGAAGTGAATTCTGCACCAACATCTAATTTTTAGCTAATTTTTTGTTGCCTAGTTCCAGAATGGACTTCCGAAAGTGGCATCCA